CTCCCCTCAGATTTTGCAGTTAATTTTAGGGTCACGTGACAGTTTACATCAAGTTATTGACAGTACTGTTCATATCAAAATGACTAGTTTTAAATGTTTGAATTACAATATATTTTTGTATTAAAGTAAAAAATGTCTATGTTGTGTAACTGTGAAAATCTTCCAAAGGCTGAATAATTTTTTTAATAAGTAGTGACAATTTTGTTTTAAGATACACTGTAAAAAATGACCGTGAATTTAACGGTAAAAGACTGTAAAAATGCTACAGTAAAAACCTGTTAAATGGTTAACGGTAAATGCCCCTACTATATACGGTGAAAAACTGTTTTGGACATTACATGTATTGGACATTAATTTTACGGTAGTATACCGTTTTTGGAAGTAAAAAAGACCGTATAGTGAATAACCGTAAATTGACATTCCCAGAATTCCCTGCGTTACATTTCAAATTTGATGTTTTTTTGTTGAAATAACTATGTTTCTTCTTAGTTTTTTCTTATCAGTTTTGTATATTAGGGTTGTGTGTTACACCTAATGTTGTTAAATGAATGTTTATTGCATTATTTCAGTTTCATGTGTGTTATCATGATGGTGTTTAGTGTTTGTGGGAATGACTCTGTGCACCTTCTATATATGTTATTATTTATAAGCTGCTTGTGATGGGCTTTGGTTCATCATGTGATTTCTCATCACCACCTGCATTTGGTGGTTATCAGTGTATTACAAAGGTACAAAACTGATTTCAGTACTTCAGTAGGTTGGTATATCAACATTATATCAGTTAATGAAATTACGGTATTAAACTGTAAATTTAAGTTAAAACCTAAAACGTTGCTACCGTATTTTTACGGTAAAATTCCGGCAACCACAGCTGCCGTTTTTTTACCGTAAATTTTTCAGAAGTTTTTTTACAGTGTATTTAGAATATTCATACCAAAATGATTTATGTACACTGAAAATGTTTTCAATTTATGAATTTATAAATATATTTTAAATATTTTTGTGTATTGTGTACACACACACAGGTTTGTTTTTATGGTTTAAGGGGACTCTGCATAGGCGTAATGGTTTTTATACTGTACAAACCGTATTTTCTATTGCCCTACACCAACCCTACCCCTAAACCTACCCCTCACAGGAAACTTTCTGCATTTTTAGATTTTATAAGCCTGAATTATTTATAAGCCTTCTGAATTACGGGGACACTGAAAATGTCCTCATAAATCACCTTCTCGTTGTAATACCTATGTCATACCCATGTTATTATACAAATTTGTGTCCTCATAAACCACATAAACATGCACACACACATATACATTTAATATTATTATTAAAATATTTAGAATAATCTCTGTATTAAATAAGCAGTGAATTAAAAACATATATTATTAATAATACTTTCAGAATGTACTTTATTAATGGTCAAGAAGCGAGTTTTTCGTCATCTGCAATACATACTCTCTGACACAATTTTGGACATTTGTGTGTCAAGGCCATTACGTTTTTGACCTTTTATGAAAAAGCATGTTTTGCTAAGACATGGGTAATCCTATGAAAATGTGTGGACATTCATGACTCAAAAATTCCTGATTCATGTTTGTAATGTTTTTTTCTTTTTTTGAAAATAATAATTAAGTTATGATTGGGTTTCATTAGATTTTTTTTTTTAACAAATTTCATATATTATAAGTGAGCTGAAGTGTCCAGATACTCTTTTGGGGTTCACTGTATTAATCTGCCTCTATTAGGTAATTGTGGAATTTCAGCACATGCCTTCGTGAGACGGGTGGGAAACAGGTGTCTGCTCATTTTGGGTCAAAAACGGGGGGTGATAGCGGCCATTTATCTGCACATTAGAGAGTTCAGGCACTTCTGCGGAACAGATGAGAACAACACTTCATAATGGGATGATCAATGATGCGCCGCTGCGATTCCTTTGAAGGGTCCAGATCCGTGTTTTTATGTTTGAACTCTTTGATGTTAGAATAACAGCCCTCATGATGCTTTATATAGCACAAGTGTTTTTCAGAGATGGATTTTTGCATAAATCTAAAATGGACATAACCATGCAAGCTTTATTTTTATGATTGCTGTCTACTATTGAAAATGCCAGATAAACTTGTATTTAGTCCATTTATTAGATACACTACCTTTCAAAAACTTGGAGTCTGTAAGATTTTTTAAATGTTTTCGAAAGAAGTCTCTTATGCTCACCAATGCTGCGTTTATTTGATCAAAAATACAGTAAAAACAGTAATATTGTGAAATATTTGTATGTGAATATATTTTAAAATGTAATTTATTCCTGTGATGCAAAGCTGAATTTTCAGCATCATTACTCCAGTCTTCAGTGTCACATGATCCTTCAGAAATCATTCTAATATGCCGATTTGCTGCTCAAGAAACATTATTAATAATGTTGAAAACAGTTGTGCTGTTTCATATTTTTGTGGATTTTTTTTCAGCAATCTTCGATTTAATATAACGTTCAAAAGAACCACGTTTATTTGAAATCTTTTGTCACATTATAAATGTCTTGACTGTCATTGATCATTTTAATGCATCTTGCTGAAAAAATTCACTTCTTCCAAAAAGTTATTTTACTGCCCCCAAACTTTTAAATGGTAGTGTATATGCAGGTGAAGACCTCATCATAACTATTTATAAAAATGGATATGTTACATAAAGACAACAATACACTGTCTTTGCATTGCCTTCCTTCTGATCCCAACATTAGGAAAGAGTGGATGAAGTTTATTTTGAATGAAGTTCTAGACCGCGTCAGTATGAACTTGGTCCTTTGTTCACTTCATTTTACCGCGGATTCGTTTACAAACAAGGCACAATTCAACACAGGATTTTCAGAAAGATTGAAACTAAAAGATGTTGCTGTGCCGACAATAATGTCTCACCACACAAGTGTGAGTAACTGTTTTTATTACGTGATCACTATTGCTTTGTCTGTTATTACAGATAGTTTGATATGCACTGAGTATTTATGTGTTTTTAACCTAAATCACAGCAGCGTCCATCTATGAAGGATGTAGGCTGTCAAACATACACAACGCAACTGTTAGCCAATCATAGCAGTGGGCGTTTACTTCCGAGTCTACAATCCGCCACGCCTATTCAAACAGAGTTCTGATGAGGGGGGTCAAAACAGGAGAGAAAATATGCCTATTACTTCTAAATTATGATGTTGTTTTGATGTAAAGATTTTGATAACATTATAAGTGGATGTCAGAGAACAGCACAAAATAATGAAAAAAGGCAGTTCATGACCCCTTTAAAGGAAGAAGCGACCCTCAAAGGTGACTAAAATATCACCTGTAGCTCTATGTTTCATGGTTACCATGAAGCAGCGACAGTAAAGTCTCCAACTGAGGTCCCCATTGGCCCCCGGCGCTGAGTTGTTCAGGTTTTTTTCCCCTCTACAGCGTGTCATCTCTAGAGAGTCACAAGTAGAGAGACACAACCAACACAGTGACTGAATGTTACGTTTGGATCAAAACAAAAAAAGAGTTCTGAGTCCAAAACGTAAAAAAAAAAGGTTCTTCATTGTTATCTATGGTTCCATGAAGAACCTTTAGCATCCTTGGAGCCTTTTCATTCTTTCTTCACTTTATAGCGAAAAAAAGAAGTTTTTTTTAGGTTATCAGAATGTTCTTCGGTTGGTTGGGTAGATAGTTGATCTAGTTTAAAAGATAGCTTATCTTTTAATCAAATGAAAATTAAACGCTTCCATTTTTTTCAAACAAAGTGCTGCACAAGAGGTTTACGGATAAAATTAAAACATGGAAGAAAAATTGTGTGATTATTCCTTAAAAAATTATGTTTTAATAATAATTTTATTATAAGTAGTAGAAGTACTATTATTACATTAAGTCTTATATTTCTGTCACAGTTTCAAGTTAAACCTAACTTTTATTTTATGTTGCTGTGAAGACCTTTAAGTTTCAGTTTTTTATATGATATGATGATAGTTTTTCTCAAATGAAATGGTAAAATGCTCATAAAGTGACTCTCAGAGCAGTTCTGGAGATTATGTTCATACTCATATATATTGAGGCGGCAGAGGCTGAAAACACAGCAAGCGTCACGCGTACTTCACTATGTGTGTAGCAAATTTATAGGGCCCTACAGATATAGGATGTGTCTCATTCAGCTCCCTATTTCTGTAGTTAGTGTACTGTAAATAGATTTGTCATTTCTAGGGCTGTCCCATATTAAAATCACAATGTTGTTGTGTTGTTGATAAATACCAGTGATGCTTTGATTCATGTTGTAGGAAATGTAGTCATCAGTTACATGTACGAATATTTTAGAGCAGAGTTCCTCATTCTCTGTTGAGCTGCTTTCCTGCAAAGTTTAGTTGGGTTAGTGAATCAGGACCAAGCGGCAACCTCCCGCTCTCTCTCGTGAAGCCAACACGGAAGTGACTTAAACTGTAATTCGTCAACTGGCCACTAGAGGCTGGCTGCAAAAAGGAGTCAATCCCATGTTAAAATGCCCAACTTTACAGCAGAAAAAACATGTTTACAACCTGGTTT